ATTTGATGCCCGTTCAGGACATTTGACCTCGTTGTATTTAACTTACTCCTTATTTACTTCAAAAGGTTAATTCATGAAATGAAACAATTTGCTTCATTTAAATTAATCCAGTGTATATGAAGCAGATTTGATTGATAAGCTTCAATAACTAGTAATGACCCTATAATTGCATGGCATAACCTCACCTAGTTAACAAGATTGATATCATTCTAGCCGGCTCCAAGCCCGGGTAAAGAGGGAGGGTTGGGCGAGGGGCTAGCTACCCTATGTCACTAAAACAATCAAACTGCTAGAGAAACTTCAACGCACAAAAAATATATTAAAAATTCAAAAGACAATCTTATTCTTCACTCGAATCGGAGAGGCGAAATGACACAGCAAGCTGGTGAACGCCTTCGGAAAACCATTCAGCGGATGTGTCTTCTATCGATCAAAGCAAGAATAAGAATAGGTACGTGGAATGTCAGTACAATGTACGAGACTGGGAAGCCTGCCCGGATAGCCAAAGAAGTGAGAAGATATGGCTTAGAAGTGCTGGGTATCTGCGGCAGCAGATGGAATGGAATTGGGTGCTTCTGGATTATCAAAATTTTCAACTGCAGAGTCAGTAATCTACTCCAGTCTGGTCATCCAGACGACAACCACGAACACACTGAGGCAATCAGTGGCTATCATGATGTCACCAGTGGCAGCTAGAGCCCTAACACAGTGGGAACCAATGTCATCCTGCAAGATAATGACAGTAAGATTCAACTCAAACGGTGGGAAGGAAGCTCACAATTGTCCAATGCTACGCACGGTGCTAAAAACAATGCGGAACAAGAGAAGAAGAAGGAGAAAGATTTCTACAGGCAACTACAAGCAGTAATGGACAACACCCCGAATGGTGACATCAAAATCCGAATGGGTGATATGAATGCCAGCCAAACTGGGAGTAGATAATACAGGAAGAAAACTCATCATGCGCCAAGAGGCTCTTGCTCTGCGAAATGAATGAGAACGAAGAATTATTGGCAAACTCCTGAACTTTCAGTAATTTGGTAATCGGGGGGGAGGTCGTGTACAAGCATGAGGATATACACAAAGCGACTTGGATTTCGTCTGGCGGACACACCACAAACCAGATAGACTTCATCTCAATGTTGTTCAAGGAAGCGGAGACGCAGCCTGCGGGACACAAAGATGAGCAGGGGAGCAGATGTGAGCTCAGACCACCATCTCGTTCAAGGAACCTTCAAGGTGAAGCTGAAATCCCCCAAAACAACTGTAGATAGACCACAATCCAAGTTCAATATTCAGAAACTGAAGGACAAAACTACAATGTATATGTTCACTACAGATCAGAGCAAGGTCGGAGACAATATGTGTTATCACCCAGGAAACCTGAGTGGAAGAATATTGGAACTAACTCTCTGAAGGTGATGTTCAAGGAAACGTGTACAACTGTTATAGGAAGAAAGAAGAGACAAGACAAGGAATGGCTGTAAACGGACGTCTACTTGGAAGCTAATAGAAGAGAGGAGAGGAGGATGGTGCAAAGGAAGACGACTCAATGCAAAGATGTACAACAGAAGGGGAAGCTGAGTTAAATGTACAGTGCACTGGATAAAGAAGTGAAGAAGAGAGCCAGGAAATACAAAAGACAATTCTACGACAAACTGGCTGGCAACTGAAGCAGAACAGGCAGGTCGCAGGTAAAAGAGACCTCAGGACATTATGCCAGAAAACCATGTCTCTATCCATGTAAAGGTCAACGCAGATGAAACCAATAAAAGATGGTCAAGGGAACCTGATTACTAAGGAGCAGAGACAAAGTAAACAACGGGCTGATCACTTCAAAGGACTCTTGCATCGACCATCACCTGCAACTCGTCCAGAAATACTACCAACAGCACGCACAGAACTGCCGGTGGATACCAATCCTCCAACGAAAGAATAAATCGTGAATGCGATCAAGCTACTGAAGTCCTGGAAGACAGCAGGACCAGACAGAATTCCCCCACCCCGAAGAACTGAAAACAGACCCAGAGATTACAGCAGATGTTCTCACTCCATAATTGCAGAAAATTTGGAAAGAAGGAGAGGTGCCCACTGGTCGGAAGAAAAGACACCCTGTCAAACTACCAATGAAGGCTGACTAAGGCCTCTGCAAGAACTGGCAAGGAATCATGCTCTTGTCCACGCCAAGTAAAATACTATGTCACGTCATCCTGGAGGAACTAAAAGATACGCTGGATGCAGAATTCTGCCAACCTGGAACAAGCTGGACTCAAGAAAAATAAATCATGTGCTGATCAAATTGCAACTCTAAGTACCATCGTCGGACAGAGCTTAGAATGGCAATCAAACCTCTTCCTCAACAACTTCATTGACTTCGACAAGGCCTTCAACAGACAGCGTAGACAGAGAAGTAATTTGGAACCTACTTCAACACTACGGCATACCTCAATTCTCTGTCAACCTCACTCAACAGCTATATATATGACAAGGCCAAATATCAGGTAATCTACAGCGGAAAACTCAGCGAGGCGTTCGAATTGGATGCAGGAGTAAGACATGGCTGCCTTCCTATTATCACCGATGATATTCCTAATAGTGGTGGACTGGATTGTGCGTCAGACTGTGCACAGGGAGTGAGAAGACAGGAATACGCTGGAGTGATAAGAAGACTCTAGGAAATGTGGATTCTGCAATTGATATATGTCTAACGTCACACAAAGTCGAATACCTACAGGAAAAAGCCAACAAACTGGCTGAGGAGACTGGCAGAGAAGACAAGACTCCAGGTGTACATAGAGAAGACGGAGTTGATGAAGATAACCAAAGAACCGCAACAACAGCAACAACAACGACCAGCACCAATCACCATCAACGGGAGAGATTTGAAAGAGATTACTTCCTTCACTTATCTAGGAAACATCGTTTCATTCACAGACGAAATAATGGATGAAGATGTCGAAACTAGAATCAGGAAGACAAGGTAGACCTTCAGCAATCTGAAACCATTTTGGAAGTTTCCTGCACTCCACGGCATAAACAACAAGATTCTGATTTTCAACACACATATGAAGTCAGTCAGTTCCTCCATACGGGTCAGCGAGTGCGTCACGAAGAGTATTTCCAATAGGTCATTTCAGACTTTCATCAACAGTTGGTTTCCCTGGCTCCATATTGAATATCAAATGGCTGGCCGGTCATAAAAAATTAGCTACAAGGAACTCTGACTGTGAACGAACCAACCAAGAGTCGAGTGTTCAGCATACATGAAGGATTAAATGGAGACGGATTGATAGGGTATACTTTGAGGAGGCCGTCGAATGACATCACGCGCAATGGAGGCCATCGCTCAAGTGGAATCCGAATTGGAAGTGACGAGTGTGTCGTCAGTGCGAGGGTGAAATGGAGGAGATCGTGCAAGGAAGAGATGAGAGATAATGGGCGATCGTGGACGGAAATGAAGAGAACAGTACCAAATAGACGAAAGTGGAGATGTGTTATTGAAGCCCTATGTTCCACTCGGAATCTAAGGGAATAGTAATAAAAATAATAACTGTGTGGTATACCGTTTCTAGACTGTTCAAGCGTTTAAATGACTAGCTCTTGAAATAAATATTCATCTTACAATTTTGGCTTCATGCGCATTCTTGGTGTTGTAAAATTCTACACCTTACTACAGTCTCTAAGGATTCTGAACGTAGTATCGACAAATATACCTTTAGAGTAGAGAGTTTATTTATTTTTCGTTTTCTTACTAGCTGAAAACTATTAGTCGTTACTAAATTGTTGTAATGGAGTGTTATTGATTTGTTGGTTATTGTCTAACTTGACTACAGTGCTCCTTCAGACAGCTGGTCCCTAGGAAATATTCCCCATACTGAGTAGTCACACAGAAGTCATATTAAACTGATACAACAGCCTTACCAAACACAATTCATAGTACTTTGACTGGATACTAGTAACTAGTGTGATGTGTCTAGTCCTTTCTTTGGTTCAGAATGGTGCAGGCATTAATTCTACCGGATATTCTTTGAAAAGTCTGAGAGCTAACTACTTCTAATTATATTTTAAATACTTATTAAAGTTATTTTATGGAATTTTCTGGATGCATTTAGAGATGACATGGTTGAACTGGTAGGCCATTCCATTGATTAGAAGGCACAGTTCAACAAATGTGAAATTTATAACCATTCTTACACGTTTAATTCATGTCACCAGCATTATCTACTTTAGAAGCATTATATTTCAGCCATTATATAGTGTGCAGGTCGTTCAGCGTCAGAATGATCGCCAGCCACACACTGGTCAGGGTTCGATTCCCAGCCGACACATTCCTAAAATCTACGCAGCTAGTAGTAAGCCCAGAAAAGAGCCGAAGAATGGTGTGAGCCTAGAGATGCCACTCAGCAAAAACGCTGCCACCACTAGTGAAGCTTCAAAGCCTCAGAGCTATGTCCCACTCAGAACGTAAGAAATGACACAAAAGCAATGCAATCAAATTACGCTTAATTTTGTATTGTTTTTCAGCCCATAGGAGTCTAATTGTAGTGTAAGTCTGTGGGATTCGAATTCAGTAATAAATGACTATTGAAATTATTGTGAGTTTCCAACTGAATTATTTAACTGGACAGAAATGCTTGATCTCTGTTGATATATTGGCTCCTAGTACGCATGCCGACAAGTCCTTTGAATGACAAAACGTGCTTTCTGCATTCCACTGTTAGTCCCTATCAACGAGCTATCATCTAGTCAGTAGAATTTCGCTGACCAGTGTACTTATGTCAATAGGTACAACTACTCATATACTTCAGTTACACATTTGGGTTGGCATGCCTCTACTGTTTTCCTTCTTGACATCAGTTAAAATTTTCTTTCAGAAATAAAGTAAAACGCTATTAATAAGCAACAAGAAATACGTGAGTAATTATTTTTTTTAATGTAGCTATCAGGTATAAATGTTTCATTGAGACATTTCAGTAATTCATTGCGATGCACGATAAATTTCACGAAAACTCTGAGAATTTTATGTCTGGACTGGGTGGGGGTGGTTTGATTAGCACTGGAAGAGAGGTGAAACTGCTTATTTGATTATTTTCTTGTAAATGGTGTTTCAACATCTGCCTATTGCCATATTTCCCCGTTGATTGCGATTGACGTAACTGTGGTAGGAATGATTTTGTCCTTGGTTCTAATGAGATGGTATTAGGTGAATTGAAATTATTATAATTGTCAACAGAAAGGGGATTCCTATTACTGGTACTGATATTATTGTGTTTATTGTCGTTTATTCGGCTTTTACTATTTGAAACAGAACATATTGTGTGCATGCGTTCAATATAACCAGGATGTCGCCTGCTCGACCAGTAAGAACTATTAAAATTACAGTTACTACTGTCATTATGTTCTGCTTGAACTGAGTCTGAATTGTTTTCATTCAGTTGTGAAGACTTATCTGAGGGGAATGACTTTGCCTCATTGTTTATATTGTTGACATTTTCTGAAAAGAAATAATTATAGTCATCAGTAGACCATGTTATTGTGACTAAATAAAAAAACTTCAAAAATCCTAAAGTGATGATATGTTCTCTTTCTTTGGGAAAACACTTTTTTGGATGATTTTAACTTATTTCAAATTTTATTGTCCTTGTAATTTAAGAATTTTCATTTAATTCAATGTTGATGCATTTTATATTATATTATGTATCATGATTTCTCAAGAAACTCTATTCATTATAAATTACCGTCTGGAAACTTATAATCTTTTTAAAAATCGGGTTGAATTATTAAAATATCAGTCAAACTGGTATCATCACCGTATATTTAATTAAAGATGTTTAAAAAACGATATCATTCCCAATTCACTTGTTATAAGAGTTCCGGAAAAGTCTCACCGATCTGTGAAAGCATTTACTGTAGAATATCACATTTTCCTTCGTGAAAGGATACAAAAATGCACATTAGCAATGGAGCAGTGTCGATACTGAATTAATAACATTGACGATTGTCTTAATATTCTTATATCCAACGATCATCTAACTACGATTACGCAGTTGTTTGAAGATTGAAAGCCCGCTCATTTCAATGCTGCTAAACAAAAACAAATTCGGACGCACCATATTCCAAAGCAGACGAGTCAAATATACAAACTAACATAAGAACAGTGTGCAACTTGTCAGATAGAGAACTCAATGTACATGAGGTGGCATTACTTGAGAAAGAGCCAAACTTTAACATAACCAGAAAACCACTGAAAGCGATAGAAATATCTCCAATCACTGAACGTGTACTAACCTTTTTAACTGATGGTGAAGCTAATGAATTACCTCAGAATGTTGGATGTATCCTGTCGAATCAAAAGCAGGCAACCACAGATTTGCCGAAGAACGAACGTCATGCATTACAAACACTAAGATCAGATAAATCTATTGTCATAACGAAAGCTGATAAAGGCAAAGTCACGGTGGAGATGATTATGGCAAGAAAGCTTTGGAGCATATCAAAGCAGGTCCAGACGCACTACTACCAATATACAAAATTTCTAGTACTATAAATAAAGTAAAAGCAGTAGTATGTAATCTACTTTGAGAATTGAAACCAAAACTGGGAAATTCAGTTTGGTTTTCAATAGCTCCCAAAACAAACCCGGCCGCTAGACTTTATGGAAGACCGAAAATCCACAAAATAGATTTTCCTTTAAAAGTGATAATTGATTTCACCAATACTTTGTCAAAACACATATCAAGAATACTAAAACCACTTCAGTACAATATCCCTTCAAACATTAAAGATGTTGGGGAGTTTAAAAGAAAATTGATGGATATAACTATTGAAGAAGATGTAATTATGGCAAGTTTTGATGTTTCTGTATTTACTAATATTCTTATATGCGGTTCACTTGATATTATAAAATGTGAACTTGAAAACAATCAAGCAGTATTAGCTAAATGTTCATTATCAATAGAAGACGTTATAAGTTGTTTAAAACATTGTTTATAATCTACTTATTTTACACTTAAAGACAAACTATACTGCCACATAAATGGATTTGCTATGAGATCACCAGCATCTGCGGTTGTAGCAAATCTTTATATGAAAGGTCTAGAAAGAAAAGCACTGACAAGTTTTAGTTGTCATCCTAGAATATAGTACAGATATGTAAATGATACATTTGTCATTATTAAGAAAGCTGAAAAAGAAAACTTCCTAACACAGATTGACTTGATATCAGAATGTGTAAATTTATCAATGAAGTTGGATCGAATGAGGGAACTCTTAACTTTCTGGATTGTTTTGCAAAGAGACAAACTGACAGAAAACTAAAGTTCACAATATATAGGAGACTGTCTCCAATCGGATCATCCAGTAAGAATGAAGATTTCAGTAACTTTAAATCCGTTAACAAAGCTACAAACGCTATAACAGATAATAATGATATGCAGAACAAGATCTCCAGAACAAAACGAAATTTTGATTGGAAATGGTTATCCGAAAAAGCTGCTAAATAATATTACCAATGAAAAAAATTAGAAGGGAGAACAGAAAATTGAAATATCTTGGGTATCGACTATAGCCATTCCATATCGAAAGGACACAGCTGAACAACTTCAAAGAGTACTTCCTGCATACGACATAAAAGTATATTTCAAGCCCTCTAATTCTCTCGAGAAAGCTTTGGTGATAGCCAAAGATATGGTTCCAAAAATAGCACAAAACAACCATATCTGTTGGATAAATTGTTCAGAATGCGAAGCTTGCTACATAGGGGAAAGTAGTAGACATGTGAAGGTCAGAGTGAATGAATACACGACACGTCCGACTAGAAATAAAATAGAATTAAACAGTCTAGAAAAAAGAACAGCTTTAGCAATGTATGCTATAGACAGAGGACATAGGATCGGTTTCGACAATATCGAAACTCAAAGAAGAGGCTTTCTTTGACATAAAGAAAGGCTGACCTCTGAAGCCTTGCATATTTTAACCACATGAAATGCAGTAAGTAGGAGAGAAGGGATAGACTTATCACCTATGTGATAGACTCCAATGAAGAAAAACAGATAGGAAAAATTTTCAACAGTATGTAATGACCAGTGCAAAATATAATCATGTTTTGAGATGTATTCCACAAAACAAATAACATATACACACAGAGACGAATATATAAATATGATGATTTGACGCTAGTCACTAAAAATATGTGATGAGTGTTTACATTTTTCTATTGGTACACACGTTTACTGACAAGTGACCTTCAAAGGAATTCACTTCAATTTATATAATTTTTTGACTATATATTTTGGTGGTTAATAAAATCCGAATAATTCTGCAGAAGAAGCTATGGTTTACACAGCGAAACGTTCATAAAAATTTTGTTTTGACTGTTTCTTAAACATGCTGGAATTATTTTAAATAATTTATAATGATTCAATCTGACTCGGCGCCCAAATTATTCCAGAAAATTCATAACATCTACTGTCTGGAAATTTATAAACTTTATTTATTGCTTCGATGAGAAGCGTCACCTTCAAGCTGATTAAGAAATGATAGTTCACTTAGTAACCGACTACCTCTTGGAAGGTATAGTCTTTCATAGTTTTGCAGATAGGCTTTTTGAATGCATTAATAAAATATGAGAATTATTAGTTACGTCCAAGTATAACGTATTATGATGATGAATAATTTTGCGCAAGGCCCATGAGTGAAACCGGAATGGGGAACGACAAGTTGGACGTCAGAGGGTGTCATGAGGGAGATTGTGTGAGAAGGAAATAAAAGTCTACGGACAATCATAGATTCAGATGAAAAGACTGAAGAAAACAGAATGAAATGGCTGTATGTTGCTGAAGCCTCATGTTCCATTTGGAACTCAAAGGAATAATAACAATAATAATGATAACAAAATATAAAATATAGCACTACTTAAATTGGAAAAATTACTATCAATACTGACCTATAATAGTGAACACAAATTGCTAACTGTTACCTAATATGTACTTCGGTAACTTACCGATTAAAAAATCTAATGTCGATGTGTCATCTTTTTGCCTCGAGATGTTTGTTAAGGCTTTATCATTCCTAGACTTTTCAGAATTGCTTTGTAAATGCTGAGTTTTTGCTCGACGAAGCAGCCGACCTGGCATTGTTTTCCATATGGCGACTGAATTTGACGATTCCTCGACTGCAGAATCTGATTGACGCCGTAAGTCGTCATTTTCCACTGATTAAAACAAATATGAAATCACTTAATGAAGGTTTCCCATTCGTTTTGTAGAAATAAAAATGTTTGAAACTCTTTTTGCACCACAAGTAAGCATTACCTGAATTTAGTATTCCAAATTGCCGCTGCAACTTTTTACGTTCATTGTCACCTAAAAGTTATTCAGTGCATATAAACCACAAGCCTCAAACTCCATTTTACGAACAGTATACGATTCACGCAACTGTAAACTTTAATCAAAACCAACCTTAACATTGGAAGACAATGGATATCACTTTTATAGACTTAGTGTCTGAATTCGGTTCTGTATGCATAGTTTTAAAAACCAAAGTGTTTATGTAAATGATACTTCATCAGCCATGACTTACGTCTAAAACACATTCAACTGTTAAATTTACTGTTAGTTTTCTGTTGATAAAACAGAACAATAACTTGTGGAGAGTAAAATGGATTCATCTCATCTTGTCGATTTGTCTCAGCTATATACTACTTGCAACACATACATCAAAAATAACTAATATTTGACCTATTTTATTACTGTGATAAAAGTCAGTTTTAATAAGAATTTATACACCATGAAGAACTTAGCAATCTCATGAGACTAAATCAGTTCCGCTATGTACATAGAGTGGTACCAACACTTCAAATATCCAAACCAAAATAATATAGCAGAAGCAACATAATAGTCTTATTAGCCTTACCTAAATGCTTTGAACCACCCACGTCATCTCTGTAATTTTTCGTCTCATTAAATAAAGGTAGGATCACTTCACTTACATTACAGCCTGTTTCTTTCAGTCCCAAATTATTATGAGACAAAGGTGGCCAATTAATTGGTGATGTATAACATCGATTCATGCATAAATCCTGTATGCTGTCAACTGAGTTTATATGATAAGCAGTTTGTTTAACCTCGGTTTGTTTCGATTTTTCAAATAACATTAGATCATTTAGTCTATGAGTTTTAGCTTTTGATTCTTCTTGCTCCTAAGAAACAGTAAGAACAAAAGAAATAACAAAGGATCGCATTGCTGCAAGCAAATGAACAGCTAAATCAATGAACAAAATAATAGACTATGAAAGCCGAGAATACTGACTGAGTCAAGGAGAAAATAAAAGAGAATTCAATAAAAATTGATATGGCTTAGTTCACTACCTTGCTATAGAAACTTCAAAGTACGAGAAAAAATATAAACACAAACGTATTCTTCTCTGGAATCAAGAGAGACGAAATAATGTGGGCTCGTGAAAACCTTCGGGAAGCCAGTTGAACAACGTGTTCTCTATTGATGAAAGTAAAAACAAGGATGAGGACGTGGAATGTCAGTACAATGTAAAAAGCTGGCGAGGCTGACAAAGACATGAGAAAATATGATAAAGAAGGGTTAGAAATCAGTGAGAGCAAGTGGAATGGTTGTGGACTAACTAAATTGTTAACTGAAGAATCAACAACCTACTCCAGTCACAAATACGATAACTATGAAGGAGCGGCTATCATAATTACACCAACAACAGCCAAAGTTCTAATGCGGTGGGAACCAATCTCTTCCAGGATACTGATAGCAAGATTCGACTCAAAAGGTAGGAGGGCTACTATCATATAATGCTACGTGAACAAGAGTACTAGTAAAAAGAAGAGACAATTTTACGACAAACTGGCTGGCAACTGAAGCAGAACAGGCAGGTCGCAGGTAAAAGAGACCTCAGGACATTATGCCAGAAAACCATGTCTCTATCCATGTAAAGGTCAACGCAGATGAAACCAATAAAAGATGGTCAAGGGAACCTGATTACTAAGGAGCAGAGACAAAGTAAACAACGGGCTGATCACTTCAAAGGACTCTTGCATCGACCATCACCTGCAACTCGTCCAGAAATACTACCAACAGCACGCACAGAACTGCCGGTGGATACCAATCCTCCAACGAAAGAATAAATCGTGAATGCGATCAAGCTACTGAAGTCCTGGAAGACAGCAGGACCAGACAGAATTCCCCCACCCCGAAGAACTGAAAACAGACCCAGAGATTACAGCAGATGTTCTCACTCCATAATTGCAGAAAATTTGGAAAGAAGGAGAGGTGCCCACTGGTCGGAAGAAAAGACACCTTGTCAAACTACCAATGAAGGCTGACTAAGGCCTCTGCAAGAACTGGCAAGGAATCATGCTCTTGTCCACGCCAAGTAAAATACTATGTCACGTCATCCTGGAGGAACTAAAAGATACGCCGGATGCAGAATTCTGCCAACCTGGAACAAGCTGGACTCAAGAAAAATAAATCATGTGCTGATCAAATTGCAACTCTAAGTACCATCGTCGGACAGAGCTTAGAATGGCAATCAAACCTCTTCCTCAACAACTTCATTGACTTCGACAAGGCCTTCAACAGACAGCGTAGACAGAGAAGTAATTTGGAACCTACTTCAACACTACGGCATACCTCAATTCTCTGTCAACCTCACTCAACAGCTATATATATGACAAGGCCAAATATCAGGTAATCTACAGCGGAAAACTCAGCGAGGCGTTCGAATTGGATGCAGGAGTAAGACATGGCTGCCTTCCTATTATCACCGATGATATTCCTAATAGTGGTGGACTGGATTGTGCGTCAGACTGTGCACAGGGAGTGAGAAGACAGGAATACGCTGGAGTGATAAGAAGACTCTAGGAAATGTGGATTCTGCAATTGATATATGTCTAACGTCACACAAAGTCGAACACCTACAGGAAAAAGCCAACAAACTGGCTGAAGAGACTGGCAGAGAAGACAAGACTCCAGGTGTACATAGAGAAGACGGAGTTGATGAAGATAACCAAAGAACCGCAACAACAGCAATAACAACGACCAGCACCACTCACCATCAACGGGAGAGATTTGAAAGAGATTACTTCCTTCACTTATCTAGGAAACATCGTTTCATTCACAGACGAAATAATGGATGAAGATGTCAAAGCCAGATTTGAAAAGGCGATAAACATCTTCACCACTCCGAAGTCAGTGTGGAGATTTTCTGCACTCAACATAAGGAACAAATTCGGATTTTAGGCACCATTGTTAAGTCAGTCAGTGACTCTATATGGTTCAGATACTTAATGTATCACTAGAAGCGCTCTCAACAGGCTTCAGACTTTCATCAACAACTATCTTGTTTCAATACTGAAGGCTAGATATCCGGCCAGATGGAATTGTCAAAACGAATCTATGGGTCCAAACCAACCAAGGACCTTTTGTCCGACAAATGTATCGAAGAAAATAGAGGTGGTTCCGACACATACTGAGGAAGCCGTCGGATATGGCGCACCAGGCCCTCATCTGTAACCTTAGTGAGGAACGACGAGTTGGTCGTCAGGATGACATGGAAGAGAGAGTACAAAGAGATGAGAGTTTATGGGTAACTGTGCAGGCAGTAAGAGCGGACCGCAGTGCATAGGATAAAGGGGAGACGTACTGTCGAAGCCCCATATTCCACTAGGAACCCAAGGGAACAATATATATATATATATATTATTGTTTCCTTTGATTTCTAAGGGAACATAGGGCTTCAGCCGTGCGTCTCCATTGCGTCCGGTTCTCTGATAGAATATTCACCTGGCTCCAAGTCTGCCCACACGTTTTCATCTCCTCTTCACATGACCTCCTCCAAGTCACCCTTGCACCGACGACCAACTCGCCGCTTCCCCTTCGGGTTCCACTCGAGCGATGGCTTGTCTAGTGATGTCACTTGATGGTTTGTTTCCTCAGAGTATGGCCAATCCATCTCCATTCCTTCCTGCTTATTTGTTTCACAATCGGTTCCTGGTTGGTTCGCTCCCAGAGATCCCTGTTGCTGATCATTTCTGGCCATCTGATCTCGAGTATTGAGCGAAGACAACTGTTAATGAAGGTCTGTAGTTTGCTTGACATGCTCTTTATGACGCGCTGGCCAAGTCTCTGATCCGTATAGTAGCACTGACTTCACATTGGAGTTGAAAATCCGGATCTTATTTTTGATGCTGAGTGCTGTTGACCTCCACACAGACTTGAGAGCAGTGAAAGCTTGTCTTGCTTTTCCGATTCTTGCTTTGATATCCTCGTCAGTTCCGCCTGTAGTTGAAACGATGCTTCCGAGGTAGGTAGTTAAAAGAGGTTGTTTCTTTCAGGTTCCTCCCATTTATGCTGATTGTTGTCAGTTGTTGTTGTTGTTGCTGTTGGTGGTATTGCCCAGGAATCTTCATCACCTCTGTTTTCTCCATGTTCACCTGAAGTCCTATCTTTGATGCTTCTTCTGCTAACTTGTTGCTTTTCGCTTGCATGTCTTCCAGTTTGTGGGAAATCAGACATATATCATCGGCGAAGTCCAGATCCTCCAAGTTTTTTGTGTGTGTCCATTTTATGCCTGTTTCCTCATTGCCCACTGTTTGTCGCATTATCCAGTCTACTGCAATCAAGAAAATCATTGGTGATAGTAGGCGGCCAGCTTGTCTTACTCCTGTCCTCACTTCCAAGGATTCCGTGAGTTTCCCGTTGTGGATTACTTGGCATGCAGCATTGTCGTACAGCTGTTGGATGAGATGTATTATTGTCGGTGGCACCCCGTAGTAGCGAAGTAGTTTCCAAAGCACCTCTCGATCGACGCTGTCAAAGGCCTTTTCAAAGTCGATGAAGTTGAGATAGAGAGGTGACTGCCACTCCAAGCTTTGTTCAATGATGATCCGTAATGTGGCGATCTGATCAATGCATGACTTGTTTCTCCTGAATCCAGCCTGTTCCGGTCGAAGTTTTTCATCCAGGGCATGTTTGATTCTCTTCAGGATGATGCGGCTTAGTATTTTGCTTGGGATGGACAGGAGCATAATTCCGCGCCAGTTCTTGCATTGACTTAGGTCTCCTTTCTTTGGTAGTTTGAATAAGTATCCTTTCTTCCAATCCTCGGGTACTTTGCCTTCTTTCCACATCTTCTCCAGTAGTGGTGTCATCAAGTCCGCTGTTGTCTCTGGGTCCATTTTCAATGCTTCTGCTGGGATTCCGTCTGGTCTTACTGCTTTTCCAGTTTTTAGCATCTTTATTGTCTTCAGGATTTCTACTCTCGTCGGAGAGTTGGTATCCCCTGGTAGTTCTGCTTCCGCTTTTGGTATTACTGGGTGCATCCTAGGTGGCGGTCGATTAAGAAGTCTTTCGAAGTGCTCAACCCAGTGATTCCTTTGCACCACCTCTTTGGTGATTGACTTTCCATTATCATCCTTCACTGGCTTAATTTGTGTTGAACTTTTCACCGATAGAAATCTGGCTGTTTGGTAGAGTGTTGCCAGGTCTCTTTTGCCTGCAGCTTGTTCTGCTTCACTAGCCATAGCTTCATCATATTGTCTTTTGTCTTCTCTGGCACTTTTCTTTACTCTTCTGTTCAGTGTATTGTAGCTAGCATTCAACTCCTGTTTTTGTTGCTCGTTGATGTACTTTTGTTTCGACATCCTTCCCTCTTCTATTAGTCTCCATGTATGTGTGTGTGTAGTGAGCCACTGTTTGCCCTGCCTCTTCTTCCTGCCTAGAACTTCCATGCAGGTTTGACTCCACACCGCTTTCAGGCTGTTCCAGTGCGTTTCAACACTGGTCTCTTAGCTAGTGTTGATTTGTGTCTCCACCTTTTCCCTTTTGATTGTGGTAAAGATATCCTTTGTTTTTGAGTATTGAACTTGACTTGTAGTATATCTGCAGCTCCTATTTCCTTGAAAACTTTTAATTTGATTTGGAGCGTTCCGTGTACGAGATAGTGGTCTGAGCCGACGTCTGTTCCTCTTCTTACTTTTGTGTCCAGTAAGCTGCATCTTCACTTCCTTGAGATTGAGATGAAGTCAGTTTTGTTTCTGGTTCGCCCATCTGGTGACACTCATGTAGCCTTATGGATATCCTTGTGTTTGTATACGCTACCACCAATCACTAGTTCATTGAATTCGCAGAAGTCGGCGAAGAGTTCTCCATTTTCATTCATTCCTCCGAGAGCTTCTCTACTCATGATGAGTTCTCTTCCTGTGTTGTCTGATCCCAGTTTGGCGTTCATGTCTTCAATTAGTATTTTAATGTCGCCGACTGGAGTACTGTCCATTGTTGCCTGTAGTTGTCTGTAGAATTCTTCTTTCTTTTCGAAGTCTGCGTTGTTTGTCGGTGCATAGCATTGTATAACTGACACTTTCCTTCCTTTGGAGTTGAATCTAGCGGTCATTATCCTGGGCGAGATCGCCTCCTATTGCATCAGGGCCTTCGTTGCTGTTGGTGACATCATGATAGTCACGCCCTCAGTGTGCGTGTGGTTGTCTTCTGGGTGACCGGATTGGATCACTGACTCTCCCGTTGACAATTTGGTCAGTCCATTCCCGTTCCATCCGCTTTTACATATTCCCAGTACTTGAATTCCGTATATTTTCATTTCGTTTGCGATCTGGACAGCTTTGCCAATCTCGTACATGGTGCGGACATTCCATGTCCCCACACAGACTTTTTCTTTTGGCGCAAGGAGACTCATCGTGCTGAAGTTTCTGTAGCAGCTTTGTTTAGAGGGTGGGGTTGCTAGCCTCACGCCTGAGAAGGGGAGCGAGAAAAGGTCAGTGTTGCGTGACCGCAGAGCCCAGGCGACAACTGCTTGAGGCCGGTCACACGCGGCCTGTTTTTGTTTGTTCTTTCTTGTTTGGTGTGTCTCAGTAGCATATTTATCACTTCTGCCCTGTGACACAGCAGCAGGAAGCGCGGTCGTTGTTAATCCAAGCCCCGACCGATCCGGCATGATATTTTGTGAGTTTGTTTGAATCGTAGTATTGGATTGGGTAGCTGCTTTTTGTCTTACCGCTATCCAAACAACTTTTCTGGCATGGTAGGACCTACAGGAACATAAGTTCCAGCCAGTGTAGCTCGTTGGGTCATTGCGATATGCAAGCCCGACCACCACGTCAAGGTAGCAGCTATCGGTCGGAATATATATATATATATATATATATATATATATATATGAATTACAGTAGACAATAACAATCATTTTTTTTGTGTTTGTGTACGCTAAAGTTTGACAGTGAGTGGAAGTACTAAAGTGCGATAATATTGTAGATATTTAATCATTTGTAACTCGCGCTTTAGTATTTCCACTCACTGTCAAAATTTTAACACACACAAACAGAAGAAAATTGATTGTTATTGTCTATTGGAACAAAAATAACACTATAGAGAAAATTACGAAGACATTTTCCGAATTTCTTTTAAATTTGCTAAACTTAGATTTTATTTTGTTTCTCTTTAATGTACTGAATAAAAGTAAGTAGTATATTCTATATTATATAAGTTTATTATAGTTGTCACAGTGATGCAGTATTCACAACTGATATGATTATGAGCAATAATGGATGCTCGAAGCGGCATCCAGCTGTGAATACTGCATCACTGTGTGATTATTCAGTTAAACTTATCTAATATGGAATTACATTCTACCATAGTGCCCAAGTTCTACATTTACATTAGGTAGTATATTCCTTTTACGAAATATAATTTAGTCCCTTATTCGAAATATGAGGAAGTGCTTTATGAGATGAAATAACTCCAGCTAATACTTGTTGGTGAACTAGTTTTGAAACGTATTTGTCCTGACAGTGAGCAGAAAAAATTATTCTTTTTAACTCAGATAATATGGGGGCCAATTATTGTTAAGACATTTCAGATGACACCATATGCTGCTAAATGAAAACAATGATGTTAAAGGAGTGAATTTTCCTAGCTTCAATTATCTAGTCTAAAAACTGCCTGAAATATTTTTGAATTATTTTTGAAATTCTCCCTTAGAGGACTGGATATTACACACAATGGGCATATCAGGAAGCGACTGGATTTCACCTATTTTTTTCAACCGTCCAGTGTAGTGAATTCTGAATTTCATGTGTTCAGCTGATATAAAAACATCTATTTTGTCCTCCAGCACAATGAGCGCTTTTCAGCGGTTCACGTTTTTCAGTTTTCACACTATGTTCTGCCGGAAAATATCTTCCTTGGACCACCATAGGACTATCATTTTTATTTCTCACACATGAAGCCTCATGAAGTGTATTTTCACTGAGTGAATAATTAACAAAATCTATCCGTCTTGATAAGTTTCTTCCCACAAATACTAATGTGTTACTGTGTATTTTACCAAGTAAATTAACTAACAGGAAAGCATATTTCACCAAGTTGCTAAAGTTCCACTCTTAAATTATCCATTTACCTTTTGAACTATTGTTTTAATATATTCAAAAGAACAGGTGAAGCAACTGATAAATTCATTTCCAAATGTAGTTTAGGATTCTGTTTGAAATTACTTCGAATAAAAGGATTTGAATTGCAAGAGAGTTGAGATTCTCATACGACGGCCGAAGCTATAAATGATTTATCATCTGGTTAGTAACTATATCAAATACAACCCTAGAACATTCACGACTTGACCATTAGGAGAAATAAAGCTTCATCTAGGCTGTACAACTACGTTGATAGCAAGCTTCAGACTAAATGGAACTTAAAATCCAATCTCTTGAGAATGTTCTTAAAAACCAGAAAATCGACAAAGTCAATCGTAAATTCGAGGCTAGGAAATGAATTTGAGTAATGACCGGAAGAAAACTCACTGAATAGTAAAATTTAAACTCCACAGAGTTGGTAACTACTCAGATACTGTGTGATAAAAATGTTTAGAAGTGATGGACAAGATTTGTCAATCAGGTAGATGATACTGTTGTATCTGTGTTCTGTAAACTAGATGCTTTAATTCATACATTTTCATTGTCTTTCTAGGTAATTTCAGCAGGGATTGAAGTTTCAGAATTATACATGAGTCCAATATTTGTCTATCCTGACGAAGTCAAACATGATTGGTTGTTCTCGCAGACGGCCAAAGTACACTACACTGTTATTAATGTTAATTTTGCAGTAATCACTCATCGAAAGCTTCTAATATGCTACTAAAGTCGTATTTCTCATTTCTAAATTACACTTAATTGTTTTGTGTATACTGTTCATCAGAAAATCGTATCTTATTTCCAAGTAACTTAACTTTTGTTATCTATACTATGATATTTCATGTCGTATGAGTCAGTCTAAGGATTTTATACTTTAACTCATGTAAAATACATTAATGGACATTATACATCAATAAAAAGCTTCATTGAACTCATTTTTGAATATTGCTTGGTTAAAATACAACCTTTTTCCAAATTAACTTTTTAGTGTGCACGTACCTGTTCATCAAAGAATGCGACTTTAATGGACCATTGAAATTTTCTTGGGTTTTACCAAGTGAAGTTAAAAACCTACTATTAGACATTTGGTCTTTTATTCAACAGTTATTTAAGGAAGAAAATCAGTTTACATAGAATAGAAGTTCTGACAACTTACAAGCAAAGGAATTCCTGTATCTCTTCGTTTATTTCCTTCAGAATATTGTGTTTTAAATAATTCGTCTATAAAATGTGGTGTAGTATGCTGATGTTGTTCCAGATTGACATTTTTCGATTTCAGCGTGTCATTCAGATAAATCATTTTCTGTTTTGGAAAAGTGAATTCTTGAGCTATTGAACTGAAAGAAAAAAATCAAATTAGTCCCATTAACATAACACATTAAGAAAAAAAGACTATTTATAAAATCCCCTTTCATGATAGTTGGCAATCGGTACACCTGATTGTCATCATCAATATTTGCGCACGTGGTAAAAGGTGTGTGCACTGAGTCATTGCACATATATATATACATATAAATTTCAACAAAGTCTCTTCCAAACCGAATTTCTTAATAACTTACAGTTGTGCGTATATGAAAAATTAGCTGAACAGAGTACCGTATGTTAGTGTGTGAAAACTCATCTACAAAGTAATCGTGTGAGTAAAGCAGAAAATTGGTTGTATCTGTTTACAAATATTTAGTTGGAAGCAAAAGCCCTTTTTCAACGTTCGACACCAAACATCAAAACCAGCATAATGATGATTTAAAAGAAATTCTCCCTAAATATACTTTAATATTAATCACAAACTTAGTAACAGCAAACATGGAAAAAGTGAATTTATAGAGTGAAACATCTTTGCTACTTGTCTTATGGTGGACAGTTATAAAAAAAGATTTCACTAATGAGTGACCAAGTTTATTATGACATGCCATCAGAGCTGAAGTATGACAACTGCTTTCAGAATTTCATTGGCAGTCATCGTCTCGCTGGCTCGCCTAATGAAATTAAATTCATATCAGTGTTTTACTTTTTTAAAGCTCCCTTTCAGAGAAGATCTGAAGTATATATTCTATAATCAATTACCAAAAAACCTATTTGATTCAATTCTGGAGCTGACCGCTCAACCAAAAGAGAAGAGTTTCGCAAATTTTCTCTTACTATAAATCAAGGAAGAGTTTAAAAAGTCTGGTTGTCTGAAGTTACAGACAGGTTTTTGCCTATATCTGTACATCAGAGTTTAAAGATAAATAAATTAACAAAGCAGCATCGAAAGAAAATTCTTTTAGTTGAGCTTGAGTACATGAACGAGAAACGGATTCACTGGTCAACACTACTTCTCATTTACAAATTAATTTACTCCTTTAAAACCTAGTATACTTAACGTAGCGTGTGCTGATTTGCCAAGTGTGTTCATCAACAGTAACGAATTCGATGACTAAAAAAGATTTTATTTATCTTAGGACTTTTATTCCCACTTAAAATGTCGTTCAGAGCACTCTATAAAATATAAAACTACTTATCTTTGTGTAACTGCTGATGAAAATAAAAGAAAATTCAGCGAATAAAATTTTCTTTATCGACAAAATCATCTTAAGAGGCTGTACAGTAGTATTTATATTTACCAAACATGTATTGTAGCCCATTATTGAGCAATAGGGGTGACATAATTGATATAATTACTTAGAAGTGGCTTCAAGAGTAATAGTAAAAATTACAAATTATGTAACACTCAATGGCACAAAGGAACAAAGCGTTAGAAATTTGATAAAGTTAAAATTGTTATTGATTGAGAAGAAAGGTACTTGAGTGTCAACTTAACAAGTGCGAAGAGAGTGAGAAAACGTACAAAAGGAACATATGATAGTGATAATAGTGAACTAATTATTAATGTAAAAGCAAAGTAATCATTAAAAATAAGAATAAGAAATTTACAGTGAACGACCGATGAAGAGGTTAAAACCGTGGTAGAATAAAAAATCACAACCTTTCTGCAGGACGTGTAATTTCTCCTCGTTGCACAAATTTCATATCTCAGGTTTTCCTTTCAACGTTGTTACTGGTATTTTTGTAGAGGAGAGAAAAAAGCAGACCATATGGTAAGCTTCAACCCTGTGATCCTAGTATATCGAATATAGTTTTAGCCAAATGATGTTTCATTATGATTTATTAATTATCTTCATATAACTTCTTTCCCTTTATACATCAGACTACATCAGGAGTGAAGGGATAGTGCAAAACAGTACAGAAAATTTCTTTTACTATTAGTCATAAGATCTTTAAAGTAAGGTTTTAATTTTAAGAGTAATCGGGTTCTTCCATTATGGGTAAAATTTATCTTGATAAAGTCTCACATTGTGAAACAGTAATATTTACTGATGATGTTTCGAGCACAATTTATTGCTCATAATCATATCAAGGCACTCACACAACTTTCTCACTTCGTTTATTTAATTCCATTATTTTTCATCGCTTGATCGGTAGTAGTATTTTCCATATTTCCGGTATGATTGATGAGTCATTCCTATTGCATATGTTGGGTGTAGACTCGATGAACAAGGATTCAGTAATCAACCTCTCTCTCCATCTAACTAGATTACGTTTTTAGCATTTTAACCCTCTCCCATCCTATTGTGTGGTTGTGTGTTAACACATGCAGTGCAATTGCTGAGCTTTTTTCTAAATTACTTATCTTCTCGGGGCAACCACATTTGACTCGAACTCTATAGACAATTATCTTATTTTCTGGACCTAGGTCCAAGGCATCCTGCCGACCGCCTCCAACCATCTAATACCAACAATTCACAGTGCACCATGATGACGAGCCACCTAGCATGGTGGCCATATTGCAAACTTGACTGATCGAACTCAGTCTGCACCAAAAATAGGACTAGACAGACACATTACACTAGTTACTGACCAGTATCCAATCAAAAATTACCTTATTTGTTTATAAATAATTAAAATAGTGATAGTTTAATGTTTATGTGTAAAACTTACTTTTGTTGACAGCATCCATCATTTGCTGTGGAAATATCTGGCAGACTGGTTAACAAAACTTCATTGTTTGTTGGTCGTCTGGGTGACAGTCTGTCAGATGCTAAACTGGTGATATTGGGACATAACACCAAACTGCCTTGACGAATTCTTCGCCGTATTTGAGCTCCAGCTAGAGGTAATAATCTGGATTTTAAAGCTTGATTGCTTATATGACATGATATCATCCACCGGGGCTTAAAAGAAGAAGTGTTCAACAATTATTCATCAGTTATAAATTACGCTGAGAATTTTAGCAGTCTTAATTTTATTTTATTCATCAAGTGGTGATTGTTGACCAATAAACAGCACTTTGTAATAGATACCAAAAATTAAGTCACATCAAAAGAGAATTTAGCGGAAAAATGGGGTTATCGCAATTTTTTATGTATCGGGTACAAATCAACTGTCGAAGCATAGTGTAGGGTTTTATGGCAGTGAAGAATTTATACAGTATCCTTAAAATGCAGATACGTTTTCTGATTGTCCTTTGTTTATGTCAATTAGACTCTTGCAGCGTTCTCAATTCATTTGTGTCCTGTAACTAATTTCCCTTCAAATAAAGCTTCGTAATTTAGCTGGATGTACTCCGGTTCATTGTCATGCTGAAGACTGAAATAATATGGACTGAAATTCGGTACTGAGCATTAGCAGGCACACACATTTTCAGGGACTGATGACAGTCAAAGGAATTTCTTATGTGCTTAACACCACATTAGTGAATTACATTTGATATGACACTTAATAACTCCATTCATGTAATTATATTGACGATGATAACTTGTGATTCTTATAGACCGAATGATTTTAGTTAAGTTCACTAGGGAAACAGGACAAAATAGTGTTTATAGTTTATATCTTCAAATATTGAGGATAAACTTAAGCTTTACAACAGTAATGTTTTTTCCTCAGCATTTTTATATTACACCTTGGAAACCAAAGTATAACGGAGGAATAGTTAAAAACGTTTTCTCATGAAGAGAAATAAAGCTTCCTGAATAATTTAGCCATGTGATTAACAACTACTGATACCAATACTTGTCACCATGACCTCTTTTTTCGTCAGCTGAAGGCTCCAACTAGTCTTTGAAGTAGATCAGCACTGTAGAAGTACTCATTATAATTTGCAATTAACAGTGTTATCTGAGCTGGTTGGTTTAGTTGCGAAGCTTTCGTCGTCCTTCTGGACAACCAACCAGCTCAGAGAACACTGTTAATTGCAAATCATCCACCTGAGCTACAAATCTTCTCTATTACTCATTATAATGTCTATCAATAATTTCATAAATGCAAACTATAGATCAGTGACTGGTTATACGATTCGAGGGAAGTAACTTATTAAAACCATCATCTGTCTTCTCACAAACAGACGTTTTCACTCACTTGACATATTATTGCTTGCTTCAACATTATAAGGACTGAAACACGTTACAAAATAAGCTCACATAGATTAATAATTACATAGAGTTATGAGAAGTTTAGCGGATTTTTACTAATTCATCAAAACGTTTATTATAAACATCAGGAAATAAACTGTGTGCAGACGAATTAAAAGACTAAATGCAGTGAAATGAAAAAGTCTTAAACCTGATCTACCTGGGTAGTGAAGGGTCATTGTGTTAAATCCCCCCACATAATAGTGCCGACAAAGAAGAAATCATCTTAGTTAAGGACAATTATGAACTTTCAAGAGAAATGCAGGTACATCCAGTGACGAGTCCCAAATAGGACGAAATGCGCATCCTGGATTCCACTGCTAGTCAACATCCACCAATTAAATAGTTTCAAGAGTTTGTTTGTAGGGATTTGATTTGTTTCAAGTTTGATTAAGGATTGATATCAGGTGGGTGTGTATTGCCGATTAGCCTCAAACTAGGACAAAACAGCTGTTCAGAACTCCCTAGTTTCCAATGGTTGGTTCTCTAACTGTGATCAAACTTTTGAACTTCATGAAACGTGCGCGACTCATTACCTTTCTAAATGAGTCATCGAAAAGCATGAAACAAATCTGATACCGATTTTTGAAACTGAGAATTGTGCCACTGAACTACTTAGGGTACTATTAACTCCTGGCTAGCAGCGAATCATGTACACTGATCACAGCATGACAATCAAAGTGTTCATTCCTTTCTTATCTTCTCCTTAACACCTTTGCATTCGTGTTTAACTTTATACTACTTATTACTAGCAAGTAGAATTTGTTTATATTTTATTTACTATTTTGTTACTCAGTAACCATAGTTATTGATTCCAACTAGAATTGATCACCTTTAGTCTGGCGTAATTATCGTTTTAAGGTCAAACTGTATTTGCTATAAACTTCATTTTCCAATCTCCGTTGTACATTGTTTATTCGAATCTCTACTCTTGACCTGTGCATTCGCACGCTGTTTGTATCCCCACTCGAATCTTCTTTGACATAGCTTTGTAATTTCTTCTTGATGCACGGGGATAGAGTACTTGATGGCGTGCTGTCTAAACACCTCACAATTTGAAGTTTGTACATTCTATTCATTGTACTTAGGTGTAATATAGTACCGTATTTTAGAAAGATTGGGTTTTTTTTTATTTTACCTATAAGACAAACTTTTGGTTTATTTAATCAAAAATTCGACTACAAATTGTCGCACCGGATTTCTAGGATGAGATCTACACATAAGTTCTTTCATAGAATGTGCTATATCAGTAAGGCTACTTCAGTAAAGAAGTTTTCAATGAACAATTCCTGATTTTAAATATCCTGACATCAGTAGATATTTTGAAAAATGTTTATTAGGCTGCTTCTTATTATCATCTACGATTGCTTTTGTCTTTGAAAAAATTGCTGTGATAGCTTCTCAGCAGATAATAAATTGCAACGATATATATATATATTTAGGACAAAAAATTCTCCAGTTCAACCTGAATGATGTAGGTCAGTCACTTAATTCAATTCTTAATTTTTAACAATATGATTTTGATAAATACTTTGATAAAGCTGTTAGCATTAAATAGCGAAACGTCAGTAAAAAACAATATCGTTTTGTTTTCCATTCACTGGGAAATACGAAAACCTTTACTATAAAGAATATGATTTCTGGTTTGATTTGCATTTCTTGATCACAAAGCTTAATGTATATAATATTCAGCCTACTCAAGCTTAACTTTCATTTGTAATTTTTTGTAAATAAAGAATAAACAACCTCATAGTTTTCTTTCAAAGTTTATGAAAAGTAGAATAAATTCTAGCTCCTTCAAACTATTCTTAGATTTATGTTTGTGACATTTAAGGTCAGATATTGATTTATTTAAATATTTCTCTTTACGAGCCTATTATCATTATTTCTGTCTTCAGTAGACTTTGTAAAGTACATTCTGTTATCACAATTGTCTTACAACTGAAATATCTAATTTTTAGAAATCTAACAATTAATAATCTGATAAGTATCATTTGTTCTTGATCTCCACGAGCCGACCAGGCTGTTCCACAGCTACAATTCACAGGCGCTATCCCACCACCGCACCACGCGCGGACGTCTGCCTGCCGGGTTTCCCCCTGGGTTGGTCTGCATCCCCTTAGTCGACCTGGACAACCCACCCTCCAACAGGTTATCTCTAACAGCGCTGTGCTTAACGTGAACTCCCCATCAACATGAGCACTCATATGCCAGAAATCCTGGTCCTGCGATACTCCGCACCTTGGCCTCCAAGTAGCTAGATTACATTTGTTCTTTGCTATGTATTTAGGCTTGTTCTTTTACTAACTAATCTTACTACAAGTTACCATGATTACGCAGACATTATGGAACTTAAATTCAAAAGCGTATATCTCCCTCAACAAGAATTCGAAACTCCCCTGGTTCATCTTTCCCTAAAATCTGCATAGATTTTGTATGATTCTAAAAATGAAGTCAAGATGATTTTGGATAGACAATGTACTTGAATTTCTTCAAAGCTGCAAACACACACACCATTGTAAAGAATATTAACAAGCGTGAAATTCAAGTACGTAAATAATTAAATATACAAACAAATAAGTAACTAAACACGTCAATCTCAAAGAATATAGGGCAGAAAAAACTAACCGAATTTCACTCTGAAAAGCATTTTTAACTCACCACACAAGCTGTCTCAGGCATGGCTTTATCCTCTCCACTTCGTGTTTCTTGTTCACTTTTTTCACTTTCATCAGCATTTCTTTTGATAAGCTGTGTCTGCTGAACAAATGACTGACATTTTTCCGGCATAGAGGCCAACATGAACAATAAATCACCCTTCCCTTTTTGTTTCGGTTTTCTTCGTCTTAAAAATGAAAATCAGAAGACAGTTACGAAATCTCACAACAAAATTTTTAAAAAGCTAAGATTTAAATATTGCCTTTCTGAATATAACAATGTATCATTTTACAAATTAAGAAGCTTAAGGGGTCGAACAGATTTACGGCACTGCCTATTGGAAAAAGCATGGTAGAGATTGGTACTAAACACGCTTATTAAACTACCTCAATAGATTATTTGAGTACGACGGGGTGATGTTTAGTTTCTCATATTGTTCAGAATCAGATGCATCATCTTCCCTATCCTACGTAGACAACAGCTCACAAACTTGATTTACATTTCCACATTGAATTTAGACATCACTCAAGTAACTGCAACTACTTTAGTTCTGGTTACCAGCAGAAGTGATCTGAGGTTATCGAAAGCTAAAGACCGAAGTTATTTAACTGCAGTTGATTCTTAATACTTCATAATGAAACACTGCTCATCACAGTGTCATGCTCTTCAACATACAGAATACACTACACAGACAATCAGCTGATTTTAACCAGGACCAGATAGCCACCTTGGTTTCGTGTGAAGTCTAGGTGTGACTGACCTTAAGAACTCATTAAGAAGAGACCAGGTCATTTATTTAAAGCCTAACCAGATAGTTTTAAGCAATCCTGAACACGCGTTTAGAGTATTATTTTGTTGGTGATGGTTTTAAAATTAACTTCTATCCCTAACGAAATTTATTTTTACAAACCCGTGGAGAATAATGTTAGTTATACTGCAAACCTCAGTCATCTTTAACTTGACGAAGGTGTACGTTAGCCCATGGGTGTTTTATTCTATCGACAAAACACTGTGTTTTTATTTGGTTGGAATTAATTACAATAACATTCAGAAATAGGCTTCACAAGCTGCGCCATTAAAATGCACTCTAACTTGGGGTTGGTGAAGGGAAGAAGTTAAATGTGATTACCATGAAGTACCTTGATGATTTCTGAATCTTCACTTTATGGAAGCCTCAGGAATTTATGGAGCAACTTTCAGTTGGTGTCAGAAGTTTACCCTGTTTCAGCTTCATATAAAATAAAATAATTTGTATTTCCCATACACTGATTCAGACAGAACACACAGTAGTCACTAAGTTAATTTGGTAATTTTCTCAGACGTTATGTGAATGTCATCATCTATTCATCCAATTAATATTTATAACGAATACTGTAATAAATCGCAATTTCTCCGTAGTGCTAAAAGATTTCAAACAAAGAAATACTGCAAGCTTATCAAGTGGAGAGCATCCCATGAATGCGAGGATTTGAAGCCTGTTGGTTTCTATTCAGTTTTTGAGCCTAGGTTAATTAGTTCCAATTTTCAGCTTGAAAATACTCTCGGTATATCACAACTATAAACCAATGACATAAGCGATTGCCTCTCTGTGTTTTGAATTGAGTTGATTCTATAGTTAACATCTTCCTGTAGGAATCTCTAAGAATGCATCAGAAAGTTTAAATCTACAATAAGTGAAACTATCGACAGATTTCGTATCTCGGTTCAGCAGTCTTATATCTTTTTACAGTTTGTTCATTCAGGAAGCACGATATGCTTTTTTAAAAATAACTCTAGTTTAAAAACAATTCTGATTTTCAATCAGAGGAAACTTAGAGGCATTAGCAAGTATTTGATTTCTGATGAAGAACTTATAGGAGTTATTACTGTCATCTGATCACGATAACAAATGAAGAATATTAAGATATCAACGTGAATATATCATCTTAATGATGAGAAAGTAGAAATTCATTTTCTTCTTCTTCTTATTATTATTATTATGTAGATTCAAATTTACCCAAAATTATCTATGATGTACAATAGTGAAAAGCTTTGGAGATCAAAAATGTCTATTAATTAATACGACTGAAATGTTTATTGAAGTGGTAATAGGCTTAAAATAAATTGTTTTGTAACGATTATGAATTCATACAGATGAAAATACTGATTTTAGGAACATTTTGCAAACAAGATTTAATAAATAAGCGATTCAAAGTTTAGATGATATTAGGTAGATGGAGACCTAAGTCAATGCAAGAACTGGCGCGGAATTATGCTCCTGTCCATCCCAAGCAAAATACTAAGCCGCATCATCCTGGAGAGAATCAAACATGCCCTGGATGAAAAACTTCGACCGGAACAGGCTGGATTCAGGAGAAACAAGTCATGCATTGATCAGATCGCCACATTACGGATCATCATTGAACAAAGCTTGGAGTGGCAGTCACCTCTCTATCTCAACTTCATCGACTTTGAAAAGGCCTTTGACAGCGTCGATCGAGAGGTGCTTTGGAAACTACTTCGCTACTACGGGTTGCCACCGACAATAATACATCTCATCCAACAGCTATACGACAATGCTGCATGCCAAGTAATCCACAACGGGAAACTTACAGAACCCTTCGAAGTGAGGACAGGAGTAAAACAAGGCTGCCTACTATCACCAATGATTTTCTTGATTGCAGTAGACTGGATAATGCGACAAACAGTGGGCAATGAGGAAACAGGCATAAAATGGACACACACAAAACACTTGGAGGATCTGGACTTCGCCGATGATATATGTCTGATTTCCCACAAACTGGAAGACATGCAAGCGAAAAGCAACAAGTTAACAGAAGAAGCATCAAAGATAGGACTTCAGGTGAACATAGAGAAAACAGAGGTGATGAAAATTCCTGGGCAATACCACCAACAGCAACAACAACAACAACTGACAACAATCAGCATGAATGGGAGGAACCTGAAAGAAACAACCTCTTTTAACTACCTACCTCGGAAGCATCGTTTCAACTACAGGCGGAACTGACGAGGATATCAAAGCGAGAATCGGAAAAGCAAGACAAGCTTACACTACTCTCAAGTCTGTGTGGAGGTCAACAGCACTCAGCATCAAAAATAAGATCCGGATTTTCAACTCCAATGTGAAGTCAGTGCTACTATACGGATCAGAGACTTGGCCAGCGCGTCATAAAGAGCATGTCAAGCAAACTACAGACCTTCATTAACAGTTGTCTTCGCTCAATACTCGAGATCAGATGGCCAGAAATGATCAGCAACAGGGATCTCTGGGAGCGAACCAACCAGGAACCGATTGTGAAACAAATAAGCAGGAAGGAATGGAGATGGATTGGCCATACTCTGAGGAAACAAACCATCAAGTGACATCACTAGACAAGCCATCGCTCGAGTGGAACCCGAAGGGGAAGCGGCGAGTTGGTCGTCGGTGCAAGGGTGACTTGGAGGAGGTCATGTGAAGAGGAGATGAAGACGTGTGGGCAGACTTGGAGCCAGGTGAATATTCTATCAGAGAACCGGACGCAATGGAGACGCACGGCTGAAGCCCTATGTTCCTGTAGGAATTAAAGGATACAATAATAATATAATAATAAGGTAGATGGAGCCAATCGGCAGGAAGCCATGCTTGACCTACGTTTCGTGCTAGTCGGCACTCATCATCAAGGCGTATCTGCAACCGTGAAGGAACTTATGTGCCTTCTGAGATTCGAACACGCGCTACCCAATGCTGCAGTCAGAGACGTTACCACTGAGCCATTCGGGCTGGCGATTGACCTCCTGTAGGATTGTATTGGATACTTTGATTGGACACTAGTAACTAGTGTGATATGTCTAGTCCGTTCTTTGGTGCAGATTGCATTTTATCAGTCAGGTTACAATGTGGCCACCATTCTAGGTAGCTCACCACCACGTTGCACATTGATTCAAAGTTTCCTTAAAACTAATTATATTTTTGATGCCATCAAGCGGAACAATAATTAGAATTTACTGCTGTAAGTAAAAACCAAATAATACTGAGGAAAATGCATTTGTTATGCAAGATTAGAGACAAAAAACTAAATTGTGAAACATACTTCATTGGTTCACTTTCTGAATCATTTGGTGCTCTTGAAGGTATCCATATATACGGGGGCTTAAGCGTAGTTTCATTATCAATTTGTGTCCATTTCTTCACTAAGAGTAAATTTCCCTTTGAATTATTTGTACATTGTTCATCATTTTTAATTTTCTCTTCGTCAATGTCATCTGTTGTCTTGTATTTTTCATCTTTTAACTCTCTAGTCTTGTGTAATCCACATTTCTCCGTCATAAAGTAAGCGTAATTCGTAAGTCTAGGAGCTTAGAAATAATTCAGAATACACACCAATTATTACCATAATTGTATCATACATCATAACGGTAACAATGTCAATGAATGCCTAAAGCTATTATATAGACCAAGTTTTATCGATCAAGTTTGTATTGCATAAATTAGATTCTACAATTCCTTCTGAATACTTCCTTCCTTCCAACTAATGACAAAATACAAATGTCAAAAAGTGACACACTAATGCTGTATTATATAACATTTAAACAAATTTATTTATCTACGAGGTGTTTTTCAAATCTGTAGATGGTTTTAACTGGATATTTTGGGGGGAAGTTATGACAAAATGTTGACTTATTCCATACACTCATTTGAACTCACGCCAATAGCACAAAAAATGTATCGCATTGTTATTCCTGTAAGAAATAAGCTCTAACTGGTAGATATATTGTAACCGACCTCCAATTTTACTTGATCATCTAAATTGCTTACGTAAACCTCGGGTTTACTGATGTGAGGATGGTTTGTTTGTAAATTTACCACTTTTATTTGACACATCTTCATTAAGGACACAATTTTCAGAGAACTGACTCATTTTTATTGGCGAATGTAACTGGACATAACAATATTATTCTCAGATTATAAGCATGTAATTTCCAGATGCTCCACTAAAAGAAACATTTGTATTTATATGCATTTGATGATGAACCTCACATATTATATGAGAGGTAACTACGTGAATGCTCAAACTTCGGCAGGTGTAGTGGGACTCTAACACGCATCTAAAACAGTGAGTCACAGCTTCAACTAAAGACTCCGAAAACAATATACCTAGTTTATGGACTTCGCTTAGCTGATAATCAGTAATCTGAAGTAATCCTGGAGTGAAGTGAGAAATGGCTGCATTCCAAAAAGAAATTAACAGAATATGAGAAGTAAAGTCCTTGATGTTATATTAGTTACTCTTTTACTGAGCTGATTTTATTGAACTTCGTTGTTTTATAGATGTTACATTTACCTCAGTTTTATTCCTAAGCTTTTGTAATAGTGGTGGATGTCAGTATGCGTGACACAACATAAGCATTTAATCCTACTTTGTAATTTTTTGGCGGGAGTCTCTGAACTTCAGTTAGAAAATCATCATATAGGGGGACCAAAAGGCAACATCAGAATAAATTCATCATCCTAGTTTCCAATGCTTTTTGAAGTTATAAGGAAAATAAGTTCACTGTATTAACGACATTTAAGGTAGCATTGAAGGGCATAATGAATAAAACTCAATTTTCTTGAACTTAGCTATTCAGGAAGTATGTGACATTAGTACTTTATAAAAAAATGTATAATGAAACAGGTAACTTCGAGGATAATTACAGTTACATCATATAAACTGAAGCCAATTTATGATAACTTACACCTACAATTGATCTGAGAATCAGAGAAAATTGACTGTCCAAATGAATCGTAAATTACTTGATGTGGAATATCTACGGAAATTTTTTTTTCTGATCCATCATTATTACATTAGTGCTACCTAATTCTTTAATGTTATCCCATAAGGGATATTTAGCACGCAGCGTAAGAATTCCATTCAATAATCTTCTTATCGTCTCCCAACAGGAAGGATGGCAACAATTCGATGCATTACAAATACACTGATTTGCAATACTTGTAACTGTACGCATTTCCAATTTAGAAATAACGGAAATTTCTTTTCTCAGTTATTATACTTGAAATGCAGCAGCGATAAAATATTGTTGTGAGAGCTAAATAAACTATTTCAGCTGTAACCTTAATTTTCTACCAATCAACGTTTGTTTATCAAATATAACCAATAATTATCGCAGAAATTTCACTCAAAGTAGTCATACTGAAGGATGTACCTAATCAAATTTCATTTTAAATTCGGAAAAACACATCACACTCCACGTTTACTGAAACATAACAATGATACATTTATTCAATGACCTGAGAAAACCATTCACCCTTGACCAGATTCAAAGGAAACACTACTTATATAACTGTGGGAATTTACCTCTGCAGTTTGTCTGAGCACATAAACTACATCGTGATAAAACACAGCCACAATCACTAACAACATGGATACATGAAATAGACAAAAATCATATTCTGCAAGACCAATTTATATATACATACAAGGAGAAATATGAAAAAAAACACTCATGTAAACTCATAAACAAGAAATGAATTAAATTGAAAAGCGAGACAAAATAAATCCCAAAAAAATTCAAAGGCAAAAAGATGAAACATCGACATGTGATCAAAGAAAACGAATCCAGGAGAAAAATACACCCAGAGCAGGAAGAAATCCAAACTAAAAAAATGAAAAGACCAAATGAAAATTAATTAATGAGTAATTAATGACTTGGATTTCTACTGTCGATATATGGATGATACATTTCTGGTTATGAAAGACGAGAATGATGCAATGAACATCCTTGACAAGTTTTATGATGCACATTCAGCAATAAACTTTACCATAGAGAAAGAAAGTAATGAAAGTATCTCATTCCTAGACGTCTTCATGGCAAGGAAAGAAGATGGCACACTAAGAAGGAGTGTGTATAGGAAACCTACAACAACAGGTCAGTAGACTTATTTTTTGAGTTTTTCACCTTTGAAATATAAACGTAACCTAGTAAAGTGTCTGGTTCATAGAGCTAGGTTAATCTGTTCAGACGACTGCCTCAATGAGGAGCTTAGGATTATTAGAGAATTAATTAGAAAAAATGGTTATCCAGATAAATTCATTGACAAAAATATGAATTCAGCACCTAGGAGAGTCAGTATGGTAACAGTTCCGAAAAACCAATGTTCACAAAGCTGCAGTTCCTCGGTGACAACATTAGTGAAATAATAACACAGCGCCTGAAGAATGCAGTTAAAAGAGCTTACTATGCAGCAGAGGAACGTTGTCTCTTCACAACCAGCCCTATTCTATATTCGAGAAATAAGGATAAACTACCTAAATTTGCCTCTTCTATGTGTATCTACCAGTTTGACTGCAGCTGCGGAGCCAGCTACATTGGGCGTACAATTAGGCAGGTTCATCATCGTATTTCTGAACAACTGTGGCTTAATGGTATACCCAGGTTTCCCAATGGTTCTCTAACTAATGTCAGCTCATGATGAAAATCCTGTAACCAATCAAATCCCTACATACCAACACTTGAAAATCATCCAACATGGTTGAGCAAGGGACAAACAATATATATTCGTAGCTCTATTGTAGCACACCTTGTTGATACTGAGCATAAGGTTGACGTTAATGATGCATTTAAAATTATTTATCGCATTCCTACTAATCATAATTTTGCTCTACGAGTTCGTCTTCTACATACATCTGAAGCAATAGGAATCCACCTGAAGAAGCCAAACCTGTGTGCAGAAGAAATTTGTGCAGACACTTTCCTTACCTTGGCCATCGTTACTTGAATGTATAAACCGGACTAATTCGCCCCCCTCCCCCTAAACATTTAAAAATTATAATTATAAAAATTATCATTGTCCAAATTATTTTATTTTTCTGACCACTTCATCTTTAATTACGCGTTATCCTTGTAAAATTAATTTATTCTTACCATTTCTACCTTTTAAATGTGTATTGATTTTCTTCGTTAATTATCAACCCATTGATATTTTGACACTGACTAATTATTGTTAACAAACATATCGCCACTTGATTGGTAAACTGTTGTGTACTGTGATAAAAATGCTATATATTTATATATATATACATATATATATATACATATATATATATACATATATATATACATATATATATATATATTAGAGTAGAGTCAGAGATGAGGATCTAATTGAAAAGTAAATATTTCTTCGCTCAATCTTTCTGTGTGTCGGTGGCACAGTGGATAGGACTTTTGCCGACCATGCACATGATCCAGGGTTAGATCCCCGGCCGACGCACACCTCTGATATCTATGGTCAGCCTGCAAAACTTGGGCTACCAATATCGCATGCTGAAAATTCCATACCTGTACAAAAATACGGTGTGGAATCAAGCTATAATAAAAAAAAACGCATAAAGAGGAAAACAAAAAGAAACTCTCAAATAAAAATGCACTGAAGAACCCAAACGAACCAAAAGAGACAAAAACCACACAACAACACAAACACACTAAAACAACAACAGACATAGAGACAAGCAGTGAGACATAGATTGACACGAATCCAGTCAATCATGCACTCATGGCATCATGGCTAAGTCGACGGAAGTCATTTCAGGCTTCATTGGTTGTTTATACAGGCGTTCGAGGGAGAACCATCCATCCACATGAGAGTTTACACCATTAACAAACATATCAACAAGCAAGTTGTTGTGTAGAAGAGAGACTGCCTGATTGAATCTGAGATATCAGGGAGCCTGTAAATCAGACATCAAGAATGAAAGAAGGTATCACATCATCAGTTGAACAGACGAAAGAAAATATCAAATAACAGTGAAAATATCGTGAAGCGGAATGGAGGAAATCAGTGAGAGTATTCGAATTATATATAAAAGATCAAATCACTGTGAAGACGCCTGACAACAAGTCGAATACAAGGTGACACAAGAGTAAGACTTGACTTGCCAACTCTTTTACAATCTAATTCCATGCTAGTTATGTGATTACTACAAGCAAACGAGTGTGAGCGAGAATCCCTCCAGTAACTGACAATCTAGCACTCAGTGGTATACCAAGTGAACAGACTGAGATTGTACGAATACAAGTCAAGTGGGATGATTGCCAGACTGCACACATGTAAGGTGTATGTATCATTGATAACACTTCCTTCCGACTGACACAACCGCCACACGTGTATCTTCTTCTTCAGTGAAGACGTCGTGGAATGTGCCTGTCTGCCTGTCTGCCTGCACATGCCATCATGACACCAGGCACTGGGGCATCTCATCTCACCTACACACCATACTAAGGTGATCGATTATCGCCAATCATGAAATAAATATTTCTTTCAGACAA